GCATAGTCAACTGTATAGAGTATGTCCGTCTTCATTATCCCGGTTGGTCCAGAAAATTAGGACGTTGGTGAAAACTAAGGGCGACCTATTCATTATACCTAAAGCATCTGCCATTTTCGCCGTGGCAAAGTGTACACAGAGGGCAAATACATGATAATAATAATATGGAAACTTATTCATACCACAGAGTTGCTTTGGCTAGGGTTTACTTTACTCAACACGGTTACCGAACAATAGGTATTTTTTCGGCGCAAAAAAAAGTATTTTCGATAAAGATGTAGGACTCTAATTGGACAGTGGTTCTGTAATTGTTACCCACTAAGAAACAAAATTGACAAAAGAAAAATGGCCTTCGACAGCGGGAGGGCCTATTATTTCAAAAGTAAATGATGAATTAAAGTATTCTTAGGGGAAATTTGTTTAAAGATTCGTGTGCCTTTCAACTGGACACAGACAGGGTTGGTGTGGGGTTACACTGGAGTCAAATGTGTCAAGGCCTTTTTCTGGGACTCGGGGGTCCATTCCACACGACTCAGGACCCTGCCTCAGGGGCTTCATGTCATGTTTTATCCCCTGATTCGGCGTTTTCTTTCAGTTTTCTTTTTGGGAGATTATCCAAAAAATTTCGGATCGGAGGCTACCGCCTCTGGCGCCTCAAAATTTCAATTATTCATAATTTTGTTAAATTTTATGAAATCAATAAAATTTTGATGCCTTTAATCGATTTGAAAACCAAAATCAAATAGTATGTACTTCCCAATTAATTATTGACAAGACACGAGACGTTATGTCAAACCACATAATTATATTTATTTTTTAAGCTTGTGACTGATGAATATCTTGCCTCTGTATACGTCTATATATATAGTTCCCTTAAGACAAATCTGATATATAATGATATTGAATACAGACCAATTATACAAAAATATAGAAATATGTCATATACCCGCCCATTAAGATCGTTATGTTGTTGACATTTGGTTTGATTTAATCCTTACAAATTCTACAAGTTTAAACACAGGGGCATTGGCATTTGAGATTTTATTATTGACTGTTTCTCTTTTAGCATTTTTCTGATTTTAAGGCGACTAATTACTTGAACCTAGCGATCTCGTTATATAATACCAATATATGGAACATTCGTCTTTTTTACTTTAATTTGTGATTCATAATATAAAACATTATTTAAGGGATGTATTCCCGAACACTGACTAAAATAATCAAAATTTTCAAATGAAGGTCAGATGTTATTATAAAGAAATGTTTTAAAATTACTTGTTTTAATAGAAGACTTCTATAAGTAATATTAAGTGCATTTCCTTGCTACCCCGAAAAGACACCACTGGTCTTCCACCAAATTTGATTTACTATGATGTGATTTAGGTTTACTTAAAAATACATTCAAATAACAAATCTAAATCCCCACCCCTTACACTACCCTTGTATGAAATCAAATGGAGGATGGAGGGTGGCCAGTGAAGTAACGTCGTACTCTTAAGTCGTTAGCCCGATGATTTTTCTTTTCACTTATTTACTTTGCATTGTTCATTTATTCCAAATCATTCAGTTGGCGAGTAATATCCTTTTTGTGCGGGAAGATTTTGAAAAATCGGAGTGCCAATTTGGCGCCTCTCAGTTACCCCAATCCATCCACCTGGATCCGCCACATCCTGCCATGGACAGCCCATAACCGTTCCAAATTATTGTTCTTTTGATTGCATAAAAATCATCCGAGCTGTCCATGAATAGCTCTCGGTATTGTTGGGTCGTATTGGGGGTACCTGTGTGGCTTGGGCGATCTATCGAGCACTAGTTACATGCGGTTTCAGGCGGTTTAAATGCCAAAAAGTTAAGCTGCTTACCTTCCACCGCTTTAGTCATACTGTCAAGTTTTGGGTGTTAATTCAAAATACACGTGTGTTGTACATTGCGTTTTCAGCATGTATAAGCAGACTGACTCTAAATAAGATGTGGAGTATTGTGTGTGAAAAGGGTATGTGTGTGTCTTTAATATAGGCGCAATACAAAACTATATAGAAGTGACCTTTGTGTTTAGCTACATCATGTAGGCCGTTCAGTGTGAAAAATTGGCGAAAGCTGGAATTCATTTAAAAGACAGCGGTGTTGATATATCTGCAGTTTTGATTTAACAGTTGACATTCCCATCATTTACATGTATTAACTATACTCTACATATACGTCACGGACTCTGGTTACCAGTTAGGTCGTTTACCCCGAGAAATGTATTAATATTTTTGTTCGGTGTTTATAATCCTTAAAACGATAATATCAAAACGCATTAAAAACGTGTTTATTATGAAGTGGCCAAATTAGTTAAGTATTAGAGTTGCTCAGAATATATAAATGCATTATGAAATATGGACCTAGCAAAAAGTACGGTATACGAGCAATACCAGTGTTGATGAACAATGTTTTGTGCTAAATATCTCAAAGTTATGGTGTTCTATTTCAGCCACTTGCCGCGTCGCGCGTCGCCTTTGAAAAAAGCGACGCCGGAAATGGCTGGAATAGAACACCATACAAAGTCAAGCGTTTAAGCGTTAAAAGCTTCAAATTTCATAACACACCCATCAAAATAAATAGTGTGATTGTGATAAATATCAACCTTTGTTAGTTTATCTAGTTAGGAATGGCTATATAATCTGTAAGTGCTCTTTTGTAACAGTAATTGCACAATATATTAATGACTAGACGTATAAATCTATACGACCAGTTACTCGTGATATAATTAAGGTGCTGAATTGAAAAATGAACCCATTCAGTCCATTTAATTGAAGAGCAATTATATCATAAAATAATTATAATTAGACGAGGTCAGGAAAGGATGGAAAGGGTGGTGGAGGATTGGTTAGAGGGGGTGCAAAATACTTTTAGTTTGAAGCCAAGATACGAAATATGCATACATTCGATTAAATCCTCATCATTGAAATGTGGTCGTAGATTGCCGTCGCCCCTGCCCCCCCCCCCCCCCGCCGATCCGTCCGTTGGGCCGTCGTCCACAATTGCTTGTGGGCGCTTTAGAGGCTAAAGTTAATATCCGATTGACTTTAAATGTATACACAGTGTTTATGGTGATGAGACGAACAAGTCTATTGATTTTCAACGATTTCCGATAATTACTGCAAGAGTTATCACCCTTGATCACTTGAGAAATCTTGTGGATGCACTAGAGGCTAAAGTTAATATAAATTTATACACAGTGTTTTAAGGTCATGGGACAAACAATCGAAATTAATTCTAATGATTTCTGATAATAACTTAATGGGTTGTTACTCGCAATCAGATTTTAGTGTGTTGTAAATGTTTTCATTATTGACAAATATGCGACAACCCATGTTGATTGAGCAGACGACTTAGCTGCTGTGGACATGTATCGTTGCCTGGTAACCTATCTTTATTTTCGCAATGACTTTATTGAGGACTTGAAATTTGAATTAACTTTGGTATCTGTCCATTTAAAAATTCAAATGGAAATAGTTTGGATGTTCAAGGAAGAAGACATAATAAAACGTATCTAATGGTCACCATTTCATTGCATATAAATATTATTATTCAAAGATAAGTCACAAATACCTCATTTAGAGGTGGGGACAGGATAAGAACGTGATGTTTATCCAAGAGCGTTCCACTGTGCCCTATACGGATGTCCAAAAACGCCCACATTTTTATGGGCTTCGTTAAGAACGATAACGAATTAGCCATCCCAAACATAGGCTGCCTGTCTACAGCTAGCTCGCCTGTGAACAGGCCCTAACCTAATTAACCGACATTTTAATTCCTACATCGACGATTTTAGTCGAAAACACTGAGTATGCGTTTAGAAATTTTTAGAAGTATTTATTTCTCTTCTATTGTCACATTGAATGAAATTAAATATGTTTATTTAGCCGTTGTGTGCATGAAAGATGTCAAACTAATCAGAGCCGAATCACAAAATAGTCCTCTAATTATTCAATATGGCGGCGCCCATGAAAGATAATTTGACAGAGGCGGTTTTGTTTGCGAAGACAAATTTAGGAGTATCTAACCTTGTTTTGAAAAATAAACAGATTGAAACTCTAAAGACCGTTTACAATGGTAAAGACTGTATTGCAATATTGCCCACTAGCACATATTATATATCGCTTTTACCGGAATGGCAGAAGTTGACATTTTGACAACAAGGCATATGTGTTTACATAAAACACGTGCTTCGGGTTATTTTTAATCTGCTGTGTATACAAAGCAGTAGTCCAGTCAATAAGTCCCGCCCCAAAACGATCACGTGAGCGTTTTAAATGGACGGCATTTAGGGGAGTGATCTATTCTCGAAGTATGACGTAGATGGATTGCTGCGTGCAGTATGCGAATTGGCGTAGAATCTAAGGTTAAACACCCCGATGTTATTATAGTCAAACAACGTCAAATCGAAAATTATTTAAATTTTACCGACCGAAGAAGGAATATGCTAATGCCTCTTAATGTAGCATGTCAGAGGGGAGTAATGCTGCTATATTAGTCTTAAAATTGTCTGTTAGTTTCATTTTACATTCTCCAAATGAAAATAACAAAGTGAGTTGTTTTTAAGTTTGAAATGAAATGAAATGGGATTGAACGTCCTGCTTTTTAGCTCCATCCGAGCTAATGAAGACGTGAGTGTAAGACGTAGAACTGATACAAGGAAGAAAACCCACAACCCTTCCTTGTTGTTAATGGAGGAAAGAAGGGTCGTGGGTCTTCTTAAACAGTGTTTTCGATTACATCTGAGGTTGTATTTTACGTCCGCTTCCACCGAGGTGATATCGCAGACAAACTCCCGTAAAAAAAAAAAAACAAAAAAAAAACGACTTTGCCAATTATCGAAAACACTCTTAATCCCCTCAGAAGCCAGTGACGTCACAGTGACCGAATGCATATTCGGAATGTTTATTCCTTAATTATCTATATACAGCCGGCGTGTTTATTCATTAACGCCTGACTGATTCCTTAATCCCCTAATTAAATAAAACAATTGACTACGGAATAATTTGTTTTTTAATTTATTTTAATTTCAGATCCAATTTAGAATTTGTTTTATAACGTCCCGCCCTATCTTCTCACGACAGCGATTTTAATACTGTGATTTAAAGTGACTTTTTGAGTGAGTAGTCCAAACGATTCGAAATACATTTCCGTCAGAAGAGTATTGTTATTCTAATTTCCTCGAGTAAAACAGTACAGGGGTAAATAGATGTGGTCATGCAAAATGTATCATAAAAGTCAAATATGATTAAAACACGATTTGTAAATGACGATCCGTTATCAGAGAAGCCAACTGTATCTCGTTTTCATGTAGCCATCGTACGACGCCTTTCTTACTGCGTGTGGATTTGACTTCATTACTCTGAAATATACCGTAAAAATGAAATACGAAAAAATAACCCAATATATGTTAGAATTAACAGTACAAATAAATTTTGTTGTTAACCATCTAAATCGAATAACAGATTGAGAAGGGTCATCTAACTATCATGGGGATTAATAATAAAGTGTCAAGTGTAGTGTCGTTAACATCTGTCATTAATCAATCCGACTAAAGTTGCACAGACATGGGGTCATAAATTAATTTACACCTCGATGTGGGATTAAGAATGCTGATTAGGTAATTATCTTTTTTTACGCCGGCCAGATCAAAGACATTTAGGTGGAACGTGTGCGTTTAACTTCTTTATAATAAAGGTATTTTACAATTACATTGACAGTTTAATCACTCGCCAAACGGCAACAGAAACTCCACGTATGATAACATGTATTTGATATTCATGTCCATGAATCCCATGCAATTTTCGCGCCAAAATTTAACCCCAGTTATTCTACACCCGTAGTATGCACGAGACCGAACATGGTAATAAGATTCCCGGCGTTGATTGGCTGAGAAATGAGGGCGGTCTACTGTTATGTAGACATCGGAAAATTTCATATTCAATCTAAAATATTCCAATCACAAATGTCAAATCTAGAACAATGCAAGGCGATAATTCGGTGATTATGATTAGGCCAGTCACATGTAAATTGAACCGTCAATGCACACTTGTCAACTGGTGGTGTGTATAGACAGTGATATATTGTACAGACAGTGATATACTGTATAGATTGTATATATACTATGTGTAGGTCCTATGACGTCACCAGCCAATCAACCGGATTAAGGTCGTAATTGAAAAATTGAAAAGCATTTTGGCGTGTCGGATACTTAAACGTTAATAGCCGAATTAAATTTAATCAGGTTGGTGTAAACTTGTCGTAAAGTGGATATAGTAACCACTGGCTATACGTACATGCAATTTAGATTTTTCACCTTATGTGGTCCTTAAGCAGTATTTTTGATGACATCTGAGGTTGGTCGACTTATGCAGGAAAGTTGATCGTTGTACGCAAAAGTCGAATTAAGGGGACCCGCAAATTAAGAATCAAGATTCAGAGTATCGGGCACCGCTATCGACTCATCTAGCATAGTAGAAATTTTGTACGGGATTTTCGAAACAACCTGAACCTAGTTCCCTTTCTATATGTATTATGCTGTATTCGTTACCGCTTGGAAAAATAGTGTTTCCCACTAGGAAATAGTAAATACCACACTTGTCGTGTTCGGGTGCACAAGTGGGAAAATCAACATGGCTGTCATTAACCCTTCAAGGATTATTTTAATAATCCTTAAAAAAAATCTCCTAATCACCATTTGTGAAAATTAAATTGCAAAACAGAATATTATCAGTCCAAAGAAGGTTCAGTTCTGTTTAGTATTTACAAAGATATGATGAATTGAAAATTTATCATCGTTCCGCATCCAATCTTTTGATGGGTCTCTTTTAAATCCAATTGAATTCAAGCTAGGAAATATCTACATATACCGTTGATGGTCTATATTGGTTTAGTTTTCTTAATTAAATGTTAAATAATCAACCTAAAAATAATTTATCGTACAGCCGTGAAAAATTAGATAAAGTCTATTGTCGATGAGAGGCACGGTCAATTAGCTTAGCATATGCCCAATTAATTGTTACGGTATGTAGACATTTTAAATTGAAAGAAACGTAGGACGCTAGTCCCGAAAAAATCTAGTTTGTGCCGAGTTGGCGTTAAACCACATTTACTGGAACATTTTTGTTGATTGATAATAGACCGTACCGTCCTAAAACCTGAACTGCCGTACGGTACAATAATTTTAACAAGTTAGTACAAAACGGAAAGCCGGGTATTTTTCTTGTTTTCAGTTTAATGTGTTTCTTGTCATTGTTCAAAAAAATGTATCCCAATATGTAAAATGCTATAAATCAAGTATTCAGATCGATATGCACATCCACAACAAACATATAACTACAAACATAGTATAATTACCGTTCAAAACGTTCAACTTTGTAACTTTGGCTGCCATCTTGTTACGTCATATCGTCGTGAACTCGATATAGTTTTAGCTACCCCAGTTCTCCAGTAGAAATCCTGACTTCCGAGCCAGTTTTTGTAGTTATGAACGCTATTTACCAATTCGTTAGTCGTATTTTCCATAAAACCGAGAAGTAACGAATACAACATTACTACTTTAGTAACAGGGCGTTGCCCGGGCGAAAAGTCTCCATTTTTCTAGCATCCATATTAAAAGAATCAAATCTCTATCATTTGAAACCTAAAATGGATGAAAATGGGTCACATTAATATAAGTGTACAATGTATAAAACTGATTTAAATTCATTATTGTAATTTCTAATCAGTTATGTTCGTCGAAATACGTGAACTGTTCAAATTGCATGGCGCCTAGTTAATACAGTCTAGATCGGGAGAACGGTTTGACCTTTCACTTACTGATGTTATGCTTCGTTCATCAAGGCGCCTCATTACAAATGACGTCCGAGTGCATAGTACACGCCGTCGCCGACTGATTTTAAAATTGTTCTGTGTGTCTTAAATTATATTGAATATCAGGAGCCCATATTTTCACGGTAAGATTAACAACATCAATATTGATTGGAATGAATTAATAATTTGCGTTAGTTATAACGTCGAAGACGCAATAATCATTAATTGTCAATTTCACATACAAAATAAATAGCATCATTTGGCTGACAGTGACACCATAAACATAGTAATACACATAAATTCCATTTATTTGATCGGTTCCTCGTTTACAAATTCGGTACTTTAATCATAAGGTTTTTAGATTTGACCGAATTTCCTTTTTAGTGACCTAGACATCAACTGGTGTTCATAGGTTCACCTTGGGTTCACGTAAACATATGTCAATCTTTAGTCATGACAGACATTGGGGCGGTCTTCAATGCAGAGCGTTAAATATAAGAAGACAACTTTAAATAAATTTTCACGCGCATTTTATATAAATAGAATAACACAAAAAAACCAAAAACATTTTCACGGGCATTTTATATAAATAGAATAACACCAAAAAAAAAAAAAAAAAAAAAAAAAAACGACGGATAGTGTTTGCCATTTTGGTTGGTTTCTCCCCCACAGTTTCTAATTTTAGAACAAAGATGTATTCAATCTTAAATCGACGTTACTGCCCGAACCGTCATACATTTTAGACGGATTTCTTCGATTATGAACAAACTACTTAATTGTGGTTATTAAAAACTTGCCTATGTGTTTGAAAGCACCTCCGGTTAAATAAAATCCATTGTTAAATAAATATCCCAATGAATAAAAAAGGTTCTCTCTTGAAAAGTCAATGTTTTGCTTGTATTTTTGACATAGTTCATCGAAACATTGCACATGTCACGTGCTGAGCGAAATCACCGTAAGACGTTGAAGGGGGATAATATAAAGGTTGACAAATTTTGACACCCACGTGTGTTGTAATCAAATCAAAACGCAATCTTTTCGGTCGTTTGAGTTTAGGCAACAAAAATAACAACTGAACTTACTGAAGACAATTACACCGGGGATTAATTCTGAAGCAATTGATTGTCAGTCTACTACATTTTATTTACACTGAATATAACACAGATTACACGGATAGGCCTACTCGTTAATATAATAATGCTTATCACATCATCAGCAACCCATCATTGTAAATACCCTGCAGATTTCGTCAAGGTCATGAGATTTAAACAGGGTTAGCGCTAACCCTACCCTAGCCCTAACCCACGACCCTCGGCAATAATCACGTGCCCTAATCCTGTTTAATCTCGTGACCTTAAAGAAATCTGCAGGTGGCCTTAATATTAAGATCTGACCTTCAAGGGTGAAACTCAATGCCGTAAAAAGAATATCGATCTGTTTGTTCTGCAACTGTGTTCAAAAGAAAATTATCCCACATCCAACTCTCTGATCAGATAATTAAAACAAGACGGAAACAAACTAACGGACAAGGGCGTATGTGTGTAAACGCCAAAACTCATACAGGGGCCGAGTAATAGCTTATTCATACACTAAATTTGAAATGTCGTAAAGGTGTCACACACCGTTACAATAGACACGCCTAGTTGCGACCCCCTTGTACGAAATGATATATCCCGCTAAGTGACGTAATTAGCTCCTTTTTTTGTGAGCAATTCAATTTTTCAAGAGAGAACTCTTCTATTTTGTTCGTTGGGATATTTAATTGTACATTGGATTTTATTTAACCGGAGGTGGTTTCAAACACACAGTTAAGTTTATAGTAACCATTCTTAAAGCAGAATTATGGAAGATTAGATAACGAGTTGACAGTTGTCGTTATAATAGTTTAAAAAATAGATAATGTAAAGGGAATATGCTGAAAATTTCGGTCAAATTACTTCACTCTGATCCGAGAAATACTCATTTTAATAACACTGTAGTCCCGACTGTCATTGTTACCGTTGTTACGATAATATACAAAGTCTCGATTATCCATTTTTACGGTTGATCATCAACGGCCGTTGAACCGCAGATCGGATTCAAATCTGTTGAGAATCGGACCTATCAGATGGCATCGAGGGTTGATTATGGTCTTGTTATGTTAATAAATGTCTAAAGAATAGTTTATATAACATTTAAGGCCTAAAGAAAGACCTGCAATAGATTTAGCTCTTGCATAATGTATGTTTAAGTAGTTTGTTCATAATCGAAGAAATCAGTTTAAAATTTATGACGTTTCAGACAGTGGGTAGGCTACCATAACCACTTTAAAGGCTCAATACCACTCTTGTTGTAACTGAATAATATGTCCCAATCTTTATTCTGGTCAACAAATTGTACTATTTTAGAATATTTCAATTAATTAATGATACAAATTTCATCTTAAGACACCTTATTTAAAAATTTTGAATAATTCAACATAATGGTTTGAAACGTCTAACGTAAACCTTTTCAAATGAAACTTCCATTTAAAAATATTTTCGAACCCTCTGGACAAGTAAAATAGGATGTAATGGATAATTTACACAACAGGTAGGATACTTAAACATCTAGTACTTAAATAGAGATATTATTTATTTTCTGGAGCTTTCAAGCCAGCAAGAGTGTTATTGTCCCTTTAAAGACAATACAATTCATGCCTTCATACTAACCATTATGTATATTATATTTTATTTATATACTTGTATATCAATATGACAATGGCGTGGGGTTAAAACGTATCATCAACACAATACAATATCAATGGTTACTTTGAACAATCCTGGGAGGCGGGGGGGGGGATTTTGACCGGAAACAGCCTTTCCGCCTATTCTTCTTCGAAATTAAACTGCCAATGGGTCTTTTGCGTACACATTAGTTCCATCCGAAAGACTATGCACACTTTCAAGTGCCATTATCGGCCCACACTGGGACTGAAACCAGCGGCATTCTAGTCCAGAGGTCAGTGCCCTACACCTTAACCACTGCAGCCCCGTAGGCTATGTCATAACAAAATAACGGGACAAACTTATAGAGGAAAATATTTTCATAAGCAGACGGTCATTCGCCATGATGGATCGAGTGAATGATGATCACGTGATATATTGACATCTTACCACTAGCAGCAGAGTTTCACTTCTCTGTATAACTATCAAGCGTAAATGTAAGCTTATTGTACCTAGCATAGTATATGCGATCAATAGCATTTCTCTACATTTCGTTGTCAACTCAGGATGGTTGACGAACTTGTTTTAATCTTCACCGGCAAATTCCACATTGTATTCTAATCGCCTCTTGTTGTTCTGTCCGTGTTAATCTCCCATCTTTGCACAGATTAGAAATTTAACAGTGAAGACGGCAGATGTTATTCAGCCGACAACAAGAATAACTTCCGCTCATAAATGTATTAAAAGGACATTTAGCTGACTTTTACCAGTTTGTATTGAGACGTAGGCAGGTAGGCTATAGGTCTGTAAAGTAAATTCTTTACTATTTTAAACATTTTGAGACTAACATATCACATTTCTTTATTATAGGATTGGTGTTGATTTTTAATTCCAACTGCCATGGTTTACTTACTTAACAATTTGCACACTAGAACCGTTGGGGGGGGGGGGGGGTCCTATATGCAATCCGGAAGACTAGACACACATTCCTTGTCATTTTCGCGGACCTCACCCCTCACATATGGGAACCGGGCTTAAAATCTATCTTTTCAGTTCACGCCCACATTCAAGTCCGGTGCCCGTTATACAATGCCCAAGGGCATGTCGCTAACCTCCGACAATTCGAGTCCTTTTCCTTACTTAATTAAAATATACATTATGTAAGATTTAGATAAAGAACTAGCCATTCTTGCTATAATAGTTCGAAAGTAGATGATGTAAAATGAATAATTTGAAAATTTCATTCAAATTACTCTATTGCAAGCGAAGATATTAGCCTTTGAATGTTTGACAGACGTGTGCAATAATTTCAACCACCGTACTGGTTGATCGAAGCTACGTCTCGGTCGGTCCTCCATATTTGATTAAATCAAAGTATCGCTGAACCATTCTAATCTATTTAATATCGGAGAAATCTGATGCCACCGAGAATTGATTAAGGCCTGGATCAGTTCATTAATGTCTAATTAATACTTTAGAAAACATTTCAGGCCTAAAGAAAGACCTGCAATAGGCAGATTTAGCTCTTGCATAATGCATGTTTAATTAAACAGTAACTTGGCTCTACATCAAATTAAAAAGACATAGTATACCTTATAAATCCTTTCTCTTTAAATTAGATTGTTGGACTTCGTATTATGCCAAAAAATACGATTGATAAAACATTCTTCAAAGGCGTCGTAATGGGCAACGCCGTTGGTAATCCGGAAACTTGAAAGTATAGTTCCAATTGCAATGGCGGACTTCATCATACAGCCGATGCTAAATGTAGGGTACTGGAATCTGCTGAGGTTTGCCGAGTGTCCTGGGAAAATGTCTGAGTCAAGCAGTGCCATTGTTATCGAAAGCGTGCGAGAACCGAATAAAGAATATGAAGCTACCCATGCGTAGTTACTCTAACCTGCGACCGAAGAGGTCAGAATAGTTAAACTGGTTTGACTAATCCTACTTGTGAACGCAACACGACCCTCTCTTTAAAAACCCCGGCGATTTTGAACTGGTTTAAAAATAAGCGCCCGAACGGTATATTAGATAAAGAGCTGACTGGTCTTGCCATATTAGTTAAAACATAGATAAAGAAAAATAAATAATATATTGAAAATTTCAGTCAAATTACTTATTTGTACTGAGCTAAGTTATGGGTGTTTAAAGTTTTAACAAGATTGCCTCGATTGTCAAGTACCACTAACCCTAACCCTAACTACTACCGTAATAAACGAAGTCTCAATTACGCAATGGTTAGCGCGTTCGCGTTGTATCATAAGGTCTGTCATTGAGTCAACTGACGTGGTTTCGATTCCCCGGTTGTACGTGGCAGCGGAGTAGGGTCGCCTATCCAACGTGGTGGGTTTTCTCCGGGTCCTCCTGTTTCCTCCCACTGCTAAATACCCATTCTATGTTATATTCCATTCAATATTTAAGTCAGCCGATAGATTAATAGAGTTGATTATGAGCTTATCATGTGAATAATACTTTTTTTATATAAAATTGGAAGCTAGGGAAAACACCTACGTACAGTTGGTAGATTTAGTTCTTACATAATGCATCTTTAAGTTAACATACTGTTATTTGCAGTAGCCTACCTAGTCGGGTCGGGTCGGGGGTGGGGTGGCGGAATGGTTAGCGCGTGCGCGTTGTATCATAAGGTCTGTCTTTGGGTCAGTTGGCGTGGTTTCGATTCCCCGGTTGTACGTGGCAGTGGAGTAGGGTCGTCTGTCCAACCTGGTGGGTTTTCTCCGGGTCCTCCTGTTTCCTCCCACTGCTAAATAGCCATACGCGCAAGCGAATTATTGAATGGAGTTAAACCCCATCTCTCTCTCTCTCTCTCTCTCTCTCTCTCTCTCTCTTAGTCAGGGAAGGGAAAACAATGACGTCATTCCACCCACGTTCATTACTCACATTATAATATGTAAACAATAATTTGTTTTGAAAATAGTAAACAAATATAATAAATGTAATTACCCTTGAACACTGAAAGTGTCCCACACCATCCCTGATTGTCGAAAGCACAGACCAAGTTAGAGTGAGGTCACAACCGTTCGTTAAACTCGTTTAAAAGGACTAAAACAGTCTAAATGACCCAGAAATTGAAATATATATCTCAACGATCTGATCTGAACATGCTCGATGCAACTAAAATGCCAAGTCACGTCAAACTGTAACTTATTTTTTTTATCAATTGGTGAAGACCTCCAGAGCGCTAATGGCTCTTTCAATACTAAAACTATATCGAATATAAACCGAAACGTAATTTTCTCAATAAATGTTTTAGGGTTATATCAAAGAAAGCAAACATTAAAGTTTATTCATTTTAAAACAAACAATGACAATTATTAGTTTTAAATTATTTAGATGCACAATATAATTACATGCTGTGATATTGATGAATAGTTTATTCCATGTTCCTGAAGCAACGACTGTGAGTAGTTAAAGCGAGATCAAGCTTATTCAAGAACGATGACGCGTTTAAGCCTCGTAAGCCTCGTGGCTTTATTAAACATACATTATTTAAGAGCTAAATCTGCTTATTGCAGGCCTTTCTTTAGGCCTGAAATGTTATCTAAATTATTAATTAGACATCAATTAACTTATCCAGACCATAATCAACTCTCCACACCGCTAGCCTGCGATATTTACTGGATTAGGATCCGATTAGCTGCTCAACTTCCATTCATGATTAAATCATGAAATGGATAATCGAGACTATGTTTTATCGTACCGACTTAAGTAATGATGATCGAGGCTAGACCGAAAATTCAATCGATAAATTCTCGGTTCAGAGTGGATTAATTTGACTGAAATTTTCAGCAAATTCCCTTTATATTATCTAGTTTTTAACTATTATAGTGAGAACTGCCAGCTCTATATTTAATCTCCAATAATGTATCTTTAAGAATTAAAAAAGGGCAAAAAAATATTCTTGAATGCATTTTATAATTTTACAGAAAAACTATGACAAATGTAATTTCCGGTTATTTGCCCTAAAGATTATGATGTACAATAACATCATAATTGTTTTTACTTTCATTAAACCTTGCTTGGAAAATATATTTAAGCAAGAAAGTATTTTACAAGACGATTTAAAGTGACAGGTAGTCAAACAAGAACATGGACCAAGAACCGACCATGGCGTCATGTTGGAATTCTGACGTCATATCAAAAATATGATAATTATTTTGATATTGATTCATAGTTTATTCAAGAAAAATGACGTGTAATATGGCTTTAATTGAGAATTATAAAACGGAGACTAAATATAAACATTATTGTTACGTTTTCATCCATTAATATCCGCTTATTTAATTTTGTCCTGAAGATTTTTTCTGGAAAATTACACCTTTTTGTTTTTTGCAATCAGTAAATATTCATGTCGATCGTACTCGAATTGGCGGAGCCTATAGACTTTTTTTAAGAGTGTTGCCACACGAAAAAGAAGATTATCAAGTGTATGGAAACAGTTCCTGGTTTGAAAACACACTTTAAAAAAAATTTCATCGCTGCTATTGTTTAGAAACCGATTAGCAATGAAAAAACAACAAATACCCGTCATATTTATTTCATTTATATGGAGCCAAATCGTTGCCATATTAAGAGAAAATATCATGGTTAAAATTGCAAATTTATCATAGTCAAAATGGTAAAAATGGCCATTTTCGAGATTTTTCACATGTAAAAATCATATAACACTTAATACATTTTAATGGATATTTACGATAAAACACAAATGCTCGACAAAAGTTAACAAACTAAAAATCTAGTTTTGTTTTTCCCCCTCTACTTTTCGCCTTTGCAAATTCACTGTAAATTTTTCATCTTTGCATTTTCAACTATCAGATTTTCTCCATTGCATTTTCGACTATCACAATTTCTCCAATCTAACTGACCGTAAGGAAAGAAGCGTGTTTCCGAGTTCGGCCGAAGATGACGTCATAACTCATCTGTTTTTATCGTCTGGACTAAGATTAATGCTTCCTGATAGGGACTATGGGCACACGACGTCATAAATCTACGTTGATATAAACGGCTGATGATTTTGGAGTTCTTCGGTTAGCTGAGAGAATAGTGAGAGCACACTGATCTGCAGTGAATATTTGCTTGGCCGCGACAATCACTGATAAGGATGACATTGATGCGGCTTAATGAGCTAGAAATATTAACTTTTTTCCTGCGACAAATTAAATTCTAAAACATTTTTTGTATATATTGGAAAAATAAATAAAGGCGTTTGACGTATTTGTAGGTAAAAATTATGTCCGATTTAGTGTAAATGGGTATTAAAATGACTAAAATGCAGCATTCTCTCCGAAGCAGTTATGTCTTATGTAAACAATGCACGCGCCATTCAGCCAATGATTCACACCGCGTGCTGTGACAGCACGTGTTAAGGCAGTCATCTATGACAGAGATATTATACGAGACTCGTAATTCTCTGTGAAACAGATTGTAGTGAGAGCAGGAGAACCGCATCACACATAAACAATTACACAATTACACAATACAAACCCGTGGACACGACACACAATATCAATTAAACATATATTTCAAACAATAAGCATGTCAAATCAAGTGAATGGACCCGGCGTAGGCCTACTTGATTTTGACTTATAAAAACACCTGGTGATTAATTAATTATATAAAACAATATTTAACGTTTAATTGTAGGTACCATAGAGGTGTACTTTATTTGAAATACTTGTACGCCAACATCAAAAGATG